TGGCTGCTGGCCAAGGGACAGCCCAGTTAAACTACCACACATGGTCACACACATGCAAGAGACTGCTCACCTCTCTCTCAGCAGGAGTCAGGCTCTGTGCAGCAGAGATGCCCTGCAGCAGAGTCTTGGTGTCTGTGAGAAGCTCCACTAAGTTTTCTTGGTATCGTCTCAACAGTTTGGCTCCATAATCCTCTGGGCTCCATTTAGCTGAATGCAAGCGAATGAAAATAAGAACAGCTCAGTTTGCAGCACCTTCCCAAAGGACTTTAAAGCTGGGGGGACCGAAAACACCAGAACAGCCAGTTCTCCCTGGTCACTAACATAGCCTTAGGTTCAGGACACCTGGATTCACCTTCAAGCAGAGGATAAACATGACAAATCAAAACTTCTCCAAATCAAAGATGACACTGAATATCCTCTGTGTGCATGTACCTACAGAAATAGATCTCTGGGACCCAAATGCCTTTCAAGTCTCAGTCCTGGTCTGAGCCCAGAAGAAGAAAGTCTCAGTTTTTAGTCATGCTTAGCAGGTAAACATGTGGCCTTGTCTGTGAAAACAACACCTTGATATGTTCACCTGCCTCCTGTGGTGCCCTGGAATCAAGAAGACCTCATTACTGACTCTTAATTGGAGTTTCATTGAAGGAGATCTGTGAGTCTTTGATCCACTCCACCACGAAGGAGCTCTGCAACATGCTCCATCTAAGCAGTGTATGACTATCAAACATGAAGATGTTACAAACACCTGGATGGTCCAAGGTAATCAAAAACTTACCAGGCTGAGTTGTCCTTGGTGAAAGTGTTAAGAGAACACAAACCAGAATTCTGATTGCAAAGTGGCAGTAACACCCTCTTCTCTCCCTTTCACCATTAAAATGCAACTTTAACCTCATTCCTTCCTCCTCCGATATCTATTTCCAAGCTGGGCCTGCTGAGGTTTGCCCTGATGAATCTGAGAAATGATGACCCTACAGTAACACCACAACACTTTAAAGACACCCCAGTATCAGGACTGATTCAAGGAAGAGTAACAGTGTTTATTCACCATAATGAAGGGACTTGGGCAAAATATGCTAAGTACCAAAAGTAATACATGATTGTATTTGTTGCCAGATTAGTTGAGAAATAAATCTGAAAAGGATTTTTTCAATGTTGGAGTTACTAAATGCAGTTATACTTTTGTAGGAGAAACAAAAACAAAACACTGCCGTTCATCCAAGACATCTATGCGTGCTTTTTGCTTGTGTGCTTAGGTCTTTTAAAAATTTTGGTTCAGTACCAAGCAGAACAATCTATTAATCACACTACTTGGGAGAAAAGCAGCTAAATACACAGTTTGGTGAAAAGAAAAACTGTCTCTGGGACGCAGAGGACATATAGTGCTGGGTAAGAAGAGAAAGCTCTCCAGGATGGTGAAAGAGGCAATAGCAGGCTGTGGGAATAACCAGTGGAAAATTTTAAGCTAATATGAAAAACTCCCTGGGCAAAGACTTCTTGGAGACAGGAGTCTACTGCCTGGCAAAGCTAAGGGAACCTCATTAAGCACTTGAGCTCCGTAGGGTTTAGGTATGACTTGGATGCGCCCCATATGGATCAGGGGATGGTTTACAAATAAATATATTTTCCTCCTTTTCCCCTTGGAATGTTTCTGATATTATTACACAAATTTGCATGGTTACAAATGCACTCTCAGCTCTGCTGCCACGCCAAGATGAACTCCAGAACCAGAACGTGCCCTGCACCACCGTGGAAGACATTCATCCTCCTTTCTGTTAGCAGGACAGCACAGGACATCAAAGGCTGCCATCAGTGGCTCAAATCATTCCTTCCCTCTTCATTTCCACAATAAGAAATATCTGTGCTTCTGTTTGTTCAAGCTGCAATTTGAGGAGATTCAGCTCTATGTAATTAAGGAATGCTCCTCCCTGGAATGGGTATTACCATTAGATAATTAACCATGTTGGGAGTCTGGTGTTTCAAGAAAGCAGTCGTGCTTAACAAATGACAAAGCAAACTGCCTGTCGGGAATGTTTGCTACAGAGGAAATTATCAGCGTTATGAGCACAGTTTTGCTTCCTATTAAACATTCATTTACATTTCACTGCATGTTAATTTAGTTTTTAATTTTTATGTGCCTTCAGAGTTGTGAAATTTGCCTCTCTGCCTGAATTGCTCAGGGGCGTGCCGAAACCCATCCAAACTTGGAAGATTGTCCCACCAGTCAAAAGATGAGGACTCTTGAGTCCCTGAACCAATATAGGCAGGTAACAAACAATAAAATCCCACCAAAACAAAAAGAAGGAGAGCTCAGAAGACCAACTGTACCCTGGGCTGCATCCAGAACAGCGTGGGCAGCAGGTGGAGGGAGGGGATTCTGCCCCTCTGCTCCGCTCTCCTCAGACCCCACCTGCAGTGCTGCCTCCAGTGCTGGGGCCACCAACAGCACAAGGACATGGAGCCACTGGAGCCAGTGCAGAGGAGGCCACGAGGATGATGCGAGGGCTGGAGCAGCTCTGCTGTGAGGACAGGCTGAGAGAGTTGGGGCTGTTCAGCCTGGAGAAGAGAAGGCTCCGGGGAGACCTTCTAGTGGCCTCCCAGTACCTGAAGGGGCTCCAGGAAGGCTGGGGAGGGACTTTGGCCAAGGGCAGGGAGTGAGAGAACAAGGGGAAATGGGTTTAAGCTGAAAGAGGGGAGGTTTAGATTAGATATTAGGAAGAAGTTTTTCACTGTGAGGGTGGTCAGACACTGGAACAGGTTGCCCAGAGAAGCTGTGGCTGCTCCTCCCTGGAAGTGTTGAAGGCCAGGTTGGATGAGGCTTTGAGCAACCTGGTCTAGTAGAAGGCGTTGGAACTAGATGATCTTTAAGGTCCCTTCCAACCCTAACCATTCTATGATTCTATGACTAGCTTTCCAAGATCATGATGACTAATGGGGACACTAAACGTGGGATTCCCATCAGCACATTCTGCTCCACACAGGAGACCACGAGTCAGTGACCATGATGTGCAGAAATGCCACCTGAAGCAAGGACAGGAGCACAGCCCAACTAAATTTTCTTCACAATCTCCCTCAATCACAAGGAATTCACAAAGACAGCAGCAAGGCAAGACATTGTCTGTATTTAACGTCAAGACATCCACGACTTTGGGGAAGTTTTAGGTATTTTCTTTCAAAGCCAGCAAGTACTCGAAGTTAAAGTCACTGATGGACCAGAGTTTGGTAAAGATGCCTTCACCTATGAAGGGTTTATTAAGTGAAAATCATCCTATTTATCATGGAGATACATGCTGCTGCTTTTAAATGACTGAAAACTAAGAAGTAGTTTGACACTGGAGGGAACAGTTCTCCTGTTTTCCAGGTATGACATCCTAGTTTCTACCCGAATAGTACCAAACTCAGTGAATGAGCCCAACAGGCTTCTGCCCAACAGTGCTCATTTCATTGCAAAGTAGGGGCTTCCTTGCTGGCACAGTCCTACCCCAGTGCTCCCAGACCATTTTTGTTTGCATAAAATGGCCATTCCATTCCTTTACATGAAAGTAAGATTATAAAAGCACGCTGAAGTCCAGACAACCATCCAAACTTCCTGCCAATTCATTGAACTGAGCAGTCAGGCAACTGAAATTTAGTGTACCCATACCTTTGCCATCAGAGACATTTGCTGTTGCCACCAAGTTGTCTAGCAGAAGGTGGAGACCAGGGAATGATGCTTTCACAGCCCCTAGAAGTTTGACCAAACTTTCTGCTTTCAGCGTTTTCTCTTCATCCACCTTCCTGAGCAGATTGTCCATGGCTTCCCTCCGAGAGCCACCTTCACAGCAATCCAAAACTACCTGCGAGAAAGAAAAAGTCAAGAACCTGTTTGTGAGAGTTTCCTACAAGCTCCTGGATCTGAACAGAGATCAGAGAAACAGGAGCAGTATCACAGTACCCAGGACTGCAAGAAATCCATATTCACTGCTTCCACTAATTTGATTAACTGGGAGGTGTTATGGGGTGCTAGTTACAGGAACATCTAAACACATCTCAGGTATATCTGACGTGTGTCACCTTGAAAACTACACTGGTAGGTTCTTCCACCAAGTCTAGCTCTTAGAAGTCGCTGACAAGCAAAAAACATTTTTTCAAAGGAAACAAAAATAGACTTAAAGACAGGGTTCAAAACAATATTTCATTTAATAGTTTTAGCAAATGCTGCTTAAATTGGCAGTCTGTTTTCCCTTGTCTCCCTAATTTTTCTGCTTGTCATCAAAAGACAGGGATATAGAGATTAAAAAAAAAAAAAAAAAGACTCTCGTTATTTAAATAAGCATCCTATTAATTGAATTATTATTTCTATGACGAGGCCACATGAGACATCTCTTATGTGATATGCAATCACTGTAGCTTGGAAAAATTTGAGTGTGCCACTATGATACCCCCAAGGTCCCTACAAGGGAAAGGCAGTTGACAAATACAGGCTGAACTCCTCTCTGCAAACGCTGTGCTCCTGAGCATTTGAAATACCTTCCAATACCTGAAGGGGTCTACAAGAAAGCTGGGGAAGGACTTTTCATAAGGGCAACTAATGACAAAACAAGGGGAAATGGGTTTAAACTGAAAGAGAGTAGGTTCAGATTAGATATTAGGAAGAAGTTCTTCACTGTGAGGGTGGTCAGACACTGGAACAGGTTGCCCAAGGAAGTTGTTGATGACCCCTCCCTGGAAGTGCTGAAGGCCAGGTTGGATGAGGCTTTGAGCAACCTGGTCTAGTGGAAGGTGTCCCTGCTGCTGGCAGGGGGGTTGGAACTGGATGATCTTTAAGGTCCCTTCCAACCCAAACCATTCTATGATTCTATGATAAATGTAGGACTGGCAGAAGCTCTGGAGGTCACCAGCCCAGTTCGCTGCTGTCTGCAGCACCACACTACACAGACCCATTAATAAAATCTTTAAGATCTGTCCGAAAACTAGTTACATTTTTGCTCCCTTTCCCCTGGTTGGAAAGCTCTTCCACAGTCTTATTCCCCTGTTGCTTCTTCTAATTTTCAGCTTAAATTTATTCATGGCAAGCGTATACCCATTTGTTCATGTGCCAACATTATCTTTTAGCTTTCAAAAGCCCTCTAAACTCTGAGGTGTTTACCCTATCCTTCCTCTCCAATTTCTTTATAAGAGCACAATCATATCGTCTCTTAGTCTTCACTTCACTGTCTAAAAAAGGCAGCTCCTCTCATAAAACAGCTTCTCCATTCCCCCAATCTTACAACTGCAGATCTGTCTCTGCTTCAATACGAATTCACCTTTTTGGAACTGCACACAGAAATTTCAGACGAGGTCTTAATTCTCAGTTCTCATTACTGCATCTAACTGCACACCCTTCACCTTATACTGCCACGTCACTCAGGTCCCACTACTTAGTCCTCCAGCCGTGTAATTCTTCTGCTTCCTGCAGATCTTCCTCTGTGTGGACAAAGGATCCCGGTTTTGCAGAGCAGTAAGTTTTGCTAAGCACAATTTGATATTTTTGTGTCAATAACATTAGTGTTAATATTAAGTATGTGCCAAGAATCTCACTGGCAACCTTGCTCCAACCTGCCAGTCCTGCCTTCAGCACAATCTGTAGTTACCTCCCAACAAGATCCATCTTTTTTAATATCACCACTTCCTCTAGTTTAACAATTTCTTCACATGAAATTCAAATGCTTTGCTGAAGTCTAGATCAAGGCAGAAAAATTCAATTTTATCTTATCAAATAAAGATTCCAGGTCAGGCAGAAACAATTTATTTGAACACCCTTTGCTGCATTTTTATCCCATTTTTTTTGCTTACACACAGTGCTTCAGCTACATACATCCCCCAGCCTGTCCCAACACATATTCCTGTGCACTCACAGAGCTGGCTGCCTGCATCACTGCTTCCCTCTCCCACATGCCTGTCCTAGTCATCAATTGCAGAGACCACTCTCAACTTGGAAAATACAGTAATAAACCTTGCTGTCACTTCCACAGCCACACGTCTCAGCTCCTCCAGTCTGCTGAGGGATACCCTTTGAGTTGTGGCTTCACTTCAGCTGCAGGGAATTTCTGTTTCCATGTCTCTCCTGGATTTCTTCCTAGGCTCAGTCATGAGTTTGAGGGTCATCTCTTCTCATTATTCTTTTTCTTTACCTGATCAGACAAATGTTTCTTGCTTGTTTCAATATAGGCTGTGATGCCCAGCAGCCTGACGTGCCACAAGACTCTCTTCATACCTCTGAAATACATTTCTTTGCCTGTCAGACATTTCAGCCATTTCTTGCAGGTCCTAATACTCTTCCTCAAGTTATTCATTCACTCAGGTCTGTAACCTCTCATAGAAATTCCCCTCTCTTGTTGAGGATGCAAACTTCAGACAGTTCTCCTACCTTTAACATAAAAGAAACTGATCCAACAGCTTCTCCTGAGCTCTTAAGAGCAGTCGATCTCATTAATTACTCTTATTTCTAAAAATCTGTTCTTTTGTAGCCAAAACTCTGTTAGCGAACCTGTTGACATATCGTCCCATCTAATTCACACTGAACTGACTCTAGATCACTCAGTCTGAAGTTGCCTTTTAAGAAGAAAACACGGAAAAGGGTCCAAGAGCAGCATCCTTTTGGAGAGCTCACGCTGTAACCTACCACTGCTGCCAGGCACGTGTCAACAGGCACAGAAGTGATGGCCCTGGCAGCGGAGGATGCAGCACTGACATTTTGAGATTCATTTTGACAACAATCAGGTGAGAGAGTCAGAAAACATGTTCTTGCAACAGGACTTCTCCATCCCCCAGTGCATCTAGTTAAGATTGCTCCTGCAATGGCCAGTAACCTTCCTCATGTTGTCTTTTATACCTGTCCTAGCTCTGAAGCAGCTTGGTTTGAACACCAAGTCATGTAGGCACTGGAGCCAAACAGAAGGGAAAGTGCATCACTCAGCGTGCTCAAGTTCCCTCTAGAAGAGGGCCTGGACAGAAGGAGAGGATCAGTGTTTTTCCAGCTACTCTGATGCTCCAGGTTCAGGGCTGTCCTCTGGACTGGTCCTTCTCAACTCTGCAATGACCTAAGCCATGGGACACGATGTATGAGAGGTTACCTGCTCTTCCTTTTATCCAAGTTTATTTCTTTTAAGTGATAATCTGCATCCAAACCATCCTCCAAATCCGCCACCCTACCTCTCCACATTACGGAAACACTAATAAAACCACAGCATTGAGCACTCAAAAAATAGAAATGCTAGGTAAAAAGTTCTCCAGAAACACAGGGATTGACAAGGAGGCTTCACAACACATCATGTACTGGTTTTCCAGCAAAGAAAATCAGACTTACTCCATGCACAGCTTGGACCAGGCACAGAAAGAATCCAGTTGCCTAGAAAAAAGGCTGTTACACATAAAACTCATGCTTGTCTTGCTGAATAAATGTGTAGCTAATGAGGCAGTGACTGTGAGAAGAAAAAGGAAAGCCTCTTCTTTATGAACCCTTGGAGAACTAGATCCTGTCTCCGCCAGCCCAGAGCTCTCATGCAATGCTGGATGAATCAGGTAAGATGAAACCTTCAGAGGTGGCTGCTAATTCCACGTTCTTTTTCCCAGTACCACACCTGAGACACCAGAGATCTCAACTGCACATATGCCACAGGCCCACTGCTTTAATCAATTTAACTTCTAAAATAATTAAGCACTTGCCAGGGGGGGTAGGAGTGGAATAAACAAATAAACCAAGCTTGAAAAAAGGGAACTTCCAAGGTCAGTCTACAATTTCTGCCTTATTTTCCTGTGCTACAGCAGGGAAAAAGCCATGCACCCAGCCTCAGTGGAGCGCTCCCCAAACACATTTGTTATTTGCTGGGAACCTGTGAGCGACAAGAGCACCAAGGGATCCCACAGAGAAGGATTTTGTACCCAGAGCAGAGTTTGGAGGCTCTGTAGCAAATGGAATATGCAGTGACTGAAGAGGGTAATAAAGAATACTGAATAACACCATCCCTGCACTGAACAAGGTACAAGTGCCGTAGTAAGTGATGATGCAATGAAAGGCTGGATCCTGTGCCGAAGGGGAAGAATTATGATGGCAGAATGGCTTTAGTTTGGGTTTATTGTTGGGGTTTGGTTTTGGGTTTGGTTTGGGTTTGTTTTTTTTTTTTTTTTTTTCAATGGGGAGATAAAAAATGGCTGCATTTTAACTACTTAATTTCATGAAGACAAAAAGAACAGTGCAGGGAAACAGTGCAGGGAAAAGGTGCAGCCTTTTAAAGAAAGGTCATACTGCAACATGAACAGGCTAAAAAACCCCCATCTCCCCACTGCTGATGCAGCTCTCATGGCTAGGAGCTCAGCTCCAGGCACCCATGTGTGGGTCTCTGCTGACAGCCACAATATCCTCAGCAGATGTCAAATCCTTTGGGTCTGGCTGAGATGGAGTTAATTTTCCCCATAGCAGCCCTCAGAGTGCTGGGCTTTGTAGGAGTAGTTAGAAAGGTGTTGATGACACACCAGGTTTTGGTTACTATTGAGCAGTGCTGCACAGCATCAAGGTTGGCACTACATTTTCCCCACCCACCCAGTAGGCTGGGGGTAGGGAAGGTCTTGAGAGGGGACACAGCCAGGACAGCTGATCCAAACTGACCAAAGGGATATTCCATCCATATGATGTCTGCTCAGATATAAAAGCTAGGGGAATGGAGGGGGAAGGGAGGGCATTCGTTATTTATGTTTGTCCTCCGGGGCAACCGCTATGCGTATACTGAAGCCCTGCTTCTCAGGAAGTGGCCAAACATCGGCTGCTGATGGGAAGTAGAGAATAAACATTTTGTTCTTTTGCTTCTGCATGTGCAGCTTTGCTTTGTTTCTATTAAACTGCCTTTTGTCTTGACCCATGAGTCTGGGGTTTTTCCATCTTATTTTTACCCCTCCACATCCTGCTGAGGAGGGGGGTGATAGAGCAGCTTGGTGGGCACCTGGCATTCAGGCAAAGTCAACTCACCACAGGCATTCATACCTCACTTTCTCCTCTCAGATCCCCATTCCAGGCTCAGCCACGCTGCCTTCAGAGAGGAAAATTCTTCAGCTGCCAGTCACACCCCAGCCCATGAGGACAAGGTGGATGCCTCTGTTGGCAAAACCCTTTTCGTCCCTCCTGCACCGAACTGTGCCCATATTCAGGGATGCTCCACACGAGATACTTGGTCAGGAACCAGGTGCAAGTGAGCAAGACATTAATTGAGGGACTTATCAGATGGGCAGAAGTTCTCAGCCCACCTTTTGCAGCTCTGGTCAGGCTCACTCAGACAGAAAGTAGACATGGTTCATGCCACTGACCACAACAGTGCTTTCCACTTGCTATGATGTGGCCAAACTAGGACAGGAGGTCTGGAAGCTGCGTACTGAATGCAGCATGCTAGGGCAACCTGCAAGTTTCAGCTGCATGGGCAGGGTATAGCCAGCTCCCCCCAAAACACAAAGGAAAGCAGGTTATACACAATATTTCATCCTTTATGGCTTCTGCAAATCAGTATGTATAATGCAACTGCTTACAGGAAAACAACACTCCTCCCTACCAACTGCTGCATTCAACACATCACAAAATAAACAGAAAAATCTGTCAGATGCGCTACTCTTGCAGGCAACTATGTGGTAAGAGTTAGAGAAAAGAATTAAAGCTGGGAAGGTCAGCTGAGAGGTAAGCTGATGGCCATGTACACAAGGACCTCACAGGCAAACAGGCAACACAAAGGTACTAGTGGTTCTGCTGAAAGCAAACTCCACTGCAAAGCCTTCTCCAGGCTCACAAAAAGGCATTTGCAGAGCCTGTGGGGAGCACCAGGCACCTCTTCTGCCCCAGGCTCTGCTTGCAGGGGCAGCCTGACACTCTGCCAGGTAGTGTTTGTCCTGGTCTTGAGGTGGCCTTAGAATCATAGAATGGTTTGGGTTGGAAGGGACGTTAAAGCTCATCCAGTCCCAACCCCCCTGCCAGCAGCAGGGACACCTTCCACTAGACCAGGTTGCTCAAAGCCTCATCCAACCTGGCCGCGAACACTTCCAGGGAGGAGCAGCCACTTCTCTGGCCAACCTGGGACACTGTCTCACCATCCTCACACCAACTAACTTCTTCCTCACATCTCATCTCCATCTCCCCTCTGCCACTTTCAAGCCATCACCCCTTGTTCTGCCACTCCCTGCCCTTGGCCAAAGTCCCTCCCCAGCCTTCCTGGAGCCCCTTCAGGTACTGGGAGGCCACTATAAGATGTCTCCAGGACCTTCTCTTCTCCAGGCTGAACAGCCCCAACTCTCTCAGTCTGTCTTCACAGCAGAGCTGCTCCAGCCCTCAGATCATCCTTGTCCCCTCCTCTGGACTCGCTCCAGTAGGTCCATGTCTTTCTTGTGTTGGGGGCTCCAGAACTGGATGCAGTGCTCCAGGTGGGGCCTCACTAGATGGGGAGAATCCCCTCCCTCAACCTGCTGCCCACGCTTCTTTTGATGCAGCCCAGGATATGGTTGTCAAACACCTCAGCTTTCACTGTTCCCTCAGTTCAGCAAAGAAGGACCTGAGACAACACACACAGTCTGTCCATATGGTGCAAAAGGGAGGTGAAATTGCCAGGTGAGGCTGGTACATCACTTGGCAAATGATGCAGTAAAACACTGCCTTGCAGACACACAGACACATACCCCCTCTTGCCCACAGAGTTTTCCTTATTTCAGATTTTTTTACCCGTTTCTCTGAGGCAGTCAGGAATCCCTCTTCAGCCATCTCCAGGAACTCTATGATGGGGCTCAGCTGTGTCACGCTCTGGATCAGCTCCTCCCTGCATCTCAGCAAGCGAGCGGACAGCGTCTCTCCCTTGTCTGTGCTCTCTGGAGGGAAAAGGATTCAGAAACACAAGTCATGAAACAAGTCAGTCTGAAGGAACTGACAGGATGCTGAAGCGAGTGAGACTCTGTGAAAGATCTAAGTGAATAGCAAAGCTTATCCGAAGCACAAGCAGCAGAGGAAAATCACTTTACTATTCTCTTTAAACTCTATGAAAGGAAAACGTCTCATTTATCTAACAGAGCACAAAGCCATAAAGCAAGCTGGAGGTTAACACCAGGTTTGCAAGGCCACTGCTTTTTGTCAGACTCAAGTAAGAAAGGAGCTTTCAATCCCGAGGCTCAGCTGTGCTCTGACCCACGCTGGCTGTGCAGCCATCGATCCAGCCCTCCAGGCAGCAATGGCGAGAGCCCTGTGCTTCCAAAGCCCACTGCTGTAGGACAGAAATGCTCCAGGATCTTGGCCAGAACGTGATAAATCACCTGCATCTGAGTAAGGATACAGGGTTTCTGGAAACCTGCTTCTCCTATAAGGTTGTCCACTCACTTTGCCCCATTCTCTACCTGTTTGCTGCAGGGCTTCTCCACTGCTCTGTTCCCTCTCCAGCAAAGCTGCTCTCAGCTTGGGATTTGCGTCTTGAAACAGCTTCAGTAAAGACACGAGAGTCTGAGCATCCAGGGCCTGAGCATCCTTCACTTTGTTCAGCAGCTTCTTAAACACTGACTGCTCCCCTGCCTCTGCCAGACAGGCAACCAGAGCCTACAACAGAACAGGCAAATGCCAGGAAGGTTTTAATAACTGAGTCAACTGCCCTACACAAACCAACACAAAATGTAGAATGGGGGTTTTGTTCAAAAACAAAACAACAACAACAAAAAAACCCCCCACATAGACACGCACCATTGAACTCAAGCTCCAGTCTGCAGCCACCAGTCCCGGGAAGGAGGGCAGTGAGCTCTGCCTGCCAGCCCTTATCTTTACAGCAAGTCCCACAAACTGGAGCTGGTTCCAGCACAAAACATCTCTTCATTTTTTCCCCTAATAGCCAAACGCCAGTAAGTCTAAGAGTCCCAGTAAAACATGGTTTAAAGACCATGACTTTGGAAGCCCAAGGCTAGGGCAGAAGACACCAGATTTCACTGCAGAACAAGGAGAGATCACTTGCACAGAAAGCAGAGAGCATTTTAAGTTGGACTTCTAGGAATCTCTGTCCTCAAGTCACAATGAAGTTGTGTCTCCTAGAGAAAGCTCTGGAGAGGAGGCAGGCAAACCCTGAGTGTCATGGGTTTGCAGGCACCTGGCAATCATGCCCACAACTCCAAAATCTACTCCAGTGACCCAAAACACCAACCAGAGACAAACGTGCCTGCACAGTTATGGAAATAAAAGGAAAAGAAATGAGCTGTAACTCTTGCTCCCATTTCCCTGGAGCCCTTTAATGCTGTAAATATTGCCCCTAAAGACACACGCTCCCCAGCTCTCCAGGAGAGATGCCAGCCTTTCAGAGCAGGCGTCCTTTATTAGACACTCCAGGGATGCTATAAAAGTACCTTTGAAGTGGCGAGCTTAGCCCAGCTCCAGCGAGAGCGGCCATTTTCTGCTGTCATTGTCATTTTTATTTCGATGATAAAAAGACTGAATGCAACTGCTTGGGGCCGCACCAGGGGGATGGTGGACTCGTTTTTTCCTAGCAGGTGTAAATGCTCATATATTAGGGCAGCGTGACAGTGCAATGACCTATTGCAAAGAGTATCCACAGAGGAGAAGCTGCAGGAGTCCCAGCCCTTAC